GGTGAAGCGTGAGGTTGAGGTTGGTTCAGGAGAACCCAGAGAGATAACGAAAGTAGGGTCCTGTATGCGTGTTCCGGAGACACATTTAAAGTTTCGAGAGTTTTAGCCAGGGCAGCTTGTTGGCCAATCTGATAGAGCGTGCGGACATTGAACGCGGCCAAGAGAAAAGGGGATTTTGGCTTTAGAAACCCTATAGCTTCTGAATCTTTGGCTATGATGGTAAAACGCTGAGTGAGTGGCGTAAACAGGAGGCATCTGGGATTAATCGAGGTTGAGAAGAACTAGTCAGAACGGAAGGGTCGTTTTCCAAATGGGTGCCAAGCAGACATTGCCAGTTGGTATCACGTCAACCAAAGACCATTGCGCTGCTGCCACAATGTCGGTAAACTGGTTTCTTGGCATCGAAGAGGAGGTAGAGGGTTCACAAGACGTTTAATACAGATTAAGTTATACCCCAAATCACTTGAAATGTTTCCTCTTTCATTCTAACTTTATTTCACTGAATGACTTCTGCGCACTTATCCCATCTCCACATGATAAACTGAAGAACGCCAACAAACCCCCAACAGAGAAAGCTAGATGGCGACGTCTCCTAGGGTTTGGTAAAGTAAGACGAACCCTAAATCATACGGGTAACAGGTGCAAATGGTAGCGCTTGATTTCTGACCAGCTCTCACAAGGGGTTTCAGCTACAAACTTTTGTGCTGCTCCCTGACTACGACAACAATGAGAAACACCATTGGCAAACTACCATTCCAACCCTGTACGCAATACCATCGGGCTTTTTATCCCCCCCTAGCTAAAGATTGTTGCCTATTATACCTGAGCTTACCCAACCGTGAGGCGATCGGGTTCAACGTTGAATCCTGTCCTAATTTTCTTCTTTCATTCCCCTAGTTATAAATGATTATGGCTAGGATTCCAGCCATTTTGAATGAAAACTCTATAGTTTGTCTGCCCTATTTATTTGATTGTTTGTGATAGCAGAAACCAATATCACCCTCAGAAAACTCGTACTCGATGCTTCTCTTTAAACCAGATTTCCGCAATGGATTATTCGGTCGCTTGGTTCTGAGGCTTATGTCATTCCAGGTGCCTTGATGAAATTTGTTTCCATAGCCGTTATTTTGCTAATCTCGGAAATTAGCAAATAAAGCAAATAATTTACCTATATTATGCAATGTTGCTGTATATAAACGAGTGAGTATGTCTCCCTAGCTGATAGTTGCCATATATTTTAACCCCTTGTAACTCGGGTGTATCACTTGACTTACGATCACTTCTACCTCACCAAGAATGTTTTTCTTCCGCAGTTCATCGTTTTATACCGCTTAGTTTTCATATTTTTCAGCTTTATTCATCCCTATACATATCTGCGCTTATGTTGTCATTCTACGGAAATGTATCATTCTGAGGAAGAGCGAATCTATTCTACCTGGAAAAATGGATTAAATGANACTGTGCGGTGAAACCTATAAATAGCAGAGTTATGGCTACCTTTCCCCTTTCGTTTTGAGTTATCGCTGCCATGGCCCTCGTTCCGACTGACGATTCTGCCCGTTTTTGTCGGTTTATGAATTGTTCATACAAGAGTTTCGAGGAATTTGTGGACGATTTTCGTGAATATCAGAAGGAGACGTGTTCCTCCTTCTATATAATTCAAGAACTCGCGAGGCTTGGGCCAAGGTGCATGGATGCGAACTTCCGGAAGGTTTCCCGTACTACTTCATCAAGTACTGCTGCGTGCATCGGCGAAGGAAATCAGCATCCGCTATAAGGTAATTTGGTATAACAATATATGGAGAATTCATTCATCTTCTTTAGATGTCCAAGCTACGACTGCAAAGCACAAGTTACGGTGCGCATTGTAGACGAGGTCTATTCTCTTGTTAAGTGGTCTGTGAAGCATTGTCATAATTTCCAAGTTGGAAATCCGTCTATGTACGTGCGAAATAGGCGTCTAACACCCGACCAAGAGGCCGAGGTGTTCGATGTGATGGGTAGTTTTAAAATCACAAGGGAGTTTCGTGAGTTCGCACTGACGCGTTTCGGTCGTAGACTCACTTGCGAAGACCTCCGATCCATCCGTCAACGATGGTCTCAAATGGATAGACGAACCGACGCCGTTCGTGTTCGTGACTTATTGCTTTCGGAAGGTGCCTTAAGCATCCGGCACTGAGATAATGTAATTCGTTACGTCTTCTTCGTTCCCAACAGAAATGGGAAGGCGTCTCACCGACGTCATTCTAGCGGACGCCACCCACCAATTTAATTGTGATGGTTATGTAATGTGGCATGCTAGTTGACCAGAGCGGGTTAGGGCGTAGTTTCTTCTATGCGATTCTTCCAAATGAGAGTGGTATTAGTTATCGAACTGCGCTTGAGTACATGACAAGTGTTCTACCAGAAACACGTCGTGTTAAAACTATTGTTGTTGATCGAAGCCTAGCTCAGTACAATGCTTTCAGAATTCATTTTCCGAAAGCATCTGTTATATTTTGTAGGTTCCATATCCTAAAGGATATGAAGTAACGCTATAATCAGCTTAGTTGGACGGTAACTAGTGGCAAGCTTTGCATATTCCAGTAGATGCGGAATATGGTGTTCTCTACAAGTGAACGGAAGTTTGACAGATTTAGGTCTGCCATAGAAGGTCGGTGCCCGGAAACCATGGGTTACCTTAACAGAGCTTGGTTGCCTTCTAAGGCTAACTGGGCACAATTTCTCATCAAGGATAAGTTCTCCATCGGTTGTTTTACAACCAATAGGGTTGAAACAGAAAGTCGTCATTTAAAAGCTGGTCTCGGCATTAGTTCAACATTGAAAAATGTCTTTTCCAATGTGATACAAAGAGTCGCATCCTTAGAAGAAACATTTAAACAACGTCGCAGTAAGGATATAATGGGTTTATATGTTGGCCCAAAAGGTGAACGTTGGGTCCAGTCAATACTTCAACGTCTGACTGGTTTTGGGCGAACTGTTCTACTGAACAATCTACGCTCCCAAAAGGTTGTAAGCATTAGTTACGGCAGTGGTTGTTGGTTAGTTACCAACGAAAAGAATCATGTTCGTAAAGTTAATTTAACGTCAGATTATATGTGCGACTGTTCATTCAGTGCACAGTGGTCCTTGCCATGCTTGCACATAATGAAGGTGATGCATGCCATCGGCCGTGACTTGAAGGATATTAATGTAGACAGATGGGTCCACGGAGATTGGAGTAAAGAAGTTGTTACAAAACCGGTTGCTGATGTTCAGAAAAGTCCTCCGCCAGTACCAATGAGGTCGGCTGGGAATAAACTAAAAGCTAGGGATGATATATATAACGACCTCAACGTAGCCAAGCCAGCATTTCAGTTCACAAATGGAAATGCTACCAAAGATCCCGGGCAGGTGGCCTGACATTCAACTGTTATGCTGCCGACCGGGAATGTCCTACGGTGTACTGTTTAATCGAGACACTGACTTGGACAAATTGTTCGTAGACTTCAAGTACCTCGGGAAAAAGAAAACTCCTCAGACAAACGCGGGAATACTTCCATCAGTAGCATCCACAAGTCATCAACCCAGTACTACTGTAGTTCGAAACACAGTTGCAAAACGGAAACCTGTTCTGGAAGCAAGGCCGACGAATGAAAAGGAGTTAGTGTTCATAGGTGACCCGGTGCAGGGGTTAGACTTTCGTTGCATGCGCACCTTAACTTCACGGATGTTCAAACTGGAGGCCAAACGACGACTTCTTCAGCAACCAACATCTGCGATCCACAATCAGGTTTGCAGTATATGCCGCCTTGATGAGCCACAAGTTGACTTGGACGAGGAAATACAATGGGTTCAGTGTTTCGGTTGTCAACGTTGGACTCATTTCAAATGCACTGGATTCAACAACGGGGAAAAATACCTGTGCATGCACTACCTGAGCCGATGGCCAAGATGGGATGCGTGACCGACGAAGAGGCCCCTAAGGGGCCGCCGCATTTTGATTCCAATTTTCCTTTACGTTCCTTTCTTGCGTTTGGAACGGAAGGAGCTATAGTTATAACGATATTCACCATTAAGTATGACCGTCTAAGTCCAGTTTCAGTCTCAGACGGTAGAATTTTGGGTTTGGATATTATTTTCCATAAGAAATACAGTATAGACTGTACCTTACGTGTTAAGATAAGTATTCCTGTATGCGTAGAATTACTTAGAAATTAATAAATCAACCCAATGAGGCATCCTTGGCCAGATATAACTGTTTCACCGTAGGTAGAATAATCTTCATTATTTTGAATGCGCGCCAAGAACAATTTCTTATGTAACGTTAGGAACAATAGAGACGCCAATTACGGCGCCAACACAAATAATGGCGCCGTAGAATGGTTCTCGGTTACCATAATTCTGAGTTTATTAGTGACCTTGAAGTTAAAAGTGGGTTACGCTACAATGTGAAATGGAGCGTTAAAACAACAACTTATTCTACCCAAAAATTCTCCATTATACTTCGCTTTCATAAAAATCATAACCATTTCCCCAGATCTTGTTGTGTGTTATATGAGGCCATTGTTATTGTACCTTGCCTGCCATGATCGTGTACCACATGCATGTCTCTCGTTGTAATCCGAGAAATATACCATTATTATCATTATCTCTGCTGGACCTTGTTATCACATGGTACGATAGGGATATGCAGGAAGTCGGCCACTACCCCCCAATTGGAAATAGCGACCACGTGGTTATTAAGTTCACGCTAGAAACAAGGCTACCGAAACCACATGAACGCAAGGTGCGCTGCTTCGGAAAATTAGATGTAAGTGGACTGCAAAGGAAGTCAGCAGAGCTCGTCTGACAGCCGGCTGAAGATAGGTTTGTAGTGGAGGATTTCTGGAGAATAATTTAGGTGAACTTACTTGCATTGTGCGATGAGTTTGCGCCTTTAAAACTGCGAAAATCATTCGGTACACCGCCTTGGTTGAAGGCTTCCATTGGAAAGGCAAT